TTTGGTTAAAAAAATATTTTTTTTTTAGTTTAGAATGGGCATTTAGTGCGTTCCAGTGCGTTTGCATGTGTTTTTGATGCATTTGTGTGCATTCCAGAGCAGGTAAAATAGGGCTTGCTGCAGTTTTTTTACATGCTCTGGAACTGAATGCTGCAGTGTGAACTGGAGCCCAAAATACCATTGGAATACATTGGACGCAGTTTTGATCCGTTCTGTAACTGCTCTGCTCCTGGAACGCGCTTGGTGTGAACAAGTCCTCACTGTGAGTCCAGGCTTTATGATGATACACCCCCCAGGGGGTTTGTCAAGGACAGTCTAGTGTCATAGGAAGTGGGCACTATGACATGAGCATCATTCTGCCTGACACTGGATGGAAGAGGAAGCTGGGAACAGCACTGGAGAGTGTATAGGGTAAGTAAAGAACGGGCACATTTTATTTAATACAGAAGGGGGTGAACCAGAAATTGAGAAAAACAAACAAACAAATCTTATAGTATAAAACAAAGCTGTTCCCTGACAAAAGAAGGTGAGAGCCAATGCTCAGGGCCCCAGTGCTGACACGAAAGGTTTCCATAGTTTGCTATCATCACAGCTTTCGAACAGAACTTCTGCTCGTAGTGCTGCTAACTTGGAAGATGGCCCGGGCCTCGAGCTGCTAAAGGGAGGAATGGCTTTTTCCCTTCACGCTTCATTTATAAATAATAATAAAAAAGATACACATGCAAGGCCTATGGGTTTGAAATCCACACACATCGTCTAAAGACCTTTCTCAGGAAATGCTTGAGGGACTGAAGCTTGTTAGACAAGCAGCTTATTTAACCCTGTCATTAAATGGTGCAGGGCTTCTGCTAGTCTGCAGTAAGTGTGTGATTTGTGGAGTATTGCCAGATAAACTGTGCAAACAGACTTACTGCATGGCTTCATAAGGAGCCGCTTGCATGCATGTCGTCTTGTATTCTTTGCACATAATATAGCAGCCTTTGAGATTTGCAGAGATGTACAAATATCTGCGTGTTCTGGCACTATCATAAATCTGTGTTTTCAAGTTGTACTCATTTAATTCTATCTAACAAGTATCCTCTGTAAGGACATGGAGAGTTATAGCGGGTAACCTGGTCAGATATCAAGAACGTCTCAGATCCTTGTCAATTATATTTGACCTATCATGACTGTTGAGTATTGTCACAATAACATTTGGGCCTAGTCTACCCAGGCTTCAGCTTTAACATGTTATTCTGAAAAGCAACGGGTACAACATCATTGACAAAGCTTTGAGCTGCTGTCTTAAAGCCCTTAGAGCGCCATTCAAATACATTTTACAAAATTCACATATGCTTTAAAACAAGGCCCTACTGACCACTGTAGACACTGTTGAGTAAGTCCTTGTCCTAAAAGTTTACAGCTGAACACTTTTTTCACTTTAGTTTTTTCAAAAGCTTATGTTTCCTCTTCTCCTGACAAGTGACTTGACACAGCGGATGTACAAGAAATGGGGGACATTCTGTTGTGAATTTTGAGAATGAATTGTTCCACAGATTCTGCAACAGGTCTTACCACATACCAGTACCTGTTTCTATTAAGTCTATGGGACATTGGTGGCAGCCCAGCATTACGTGTTTTTTTTTTTTACTGGTCTGGTCTGGCTGCAGACAGCGTGGGAGCCTTGCAAGTGCCGCGTCTCTCGACAGACAATTTAAAAATCAACTGAGCCGGGTGGAAAAATATTGGCTTATCAGATGTGCAGCTGCTTGAATACAATGGCCGGCAGCGGGGATTCCTTCATCCAGTAGTTTTTGGCTTTTTTTTTCTGATCTGCAAAATTCTACATGAAAAAAAAACTATTTTGGCAAATCTTTGCTATAGATTGATTGTTGGTAGTGGCCACATGTGTAGCACAACTAAATCAATGTGTTTCTGGTGAGATAGCTGCCCGTGAGAGGTCCAGTCTCAGTAGCAAAGAGAATTATTCACCAGTGTAGCCCTAGGCTTCAGCTAGTCTTTCATATAACCGTTTGGTAGAACGAATGAACTCTTCTTTTTTTTGTTTTAGTGCAAATCACAAAGCAGTCGAACACCTAAAAAAATGGTTTGGGACAATCTCAAAGATTTGAGATTGAAAGTGCCCCAGTTAAACCTAGTGGAAGATCTAAGAAGATCTAAGAACTTTGAAGACCGTGCCTGCATTTTTTTACTGCACCGTTTCAACTTTATTATCGGTTGATTGAACTCACAGGTGGTAGATTGCGTTGCTTCTGATGATTACTTGTCACCATATTTGTGATTCTAGGTGGATGTAAAGTTGTTGTTGTAGTTTAAAAAAAATAAATTTATAGGTATTTCAGTATAGTAGAAAGACAAAAAACAGTTGTACAAATCGTACAAAAGTTGTTGTAGTTGACCTGTGTATGGCTAGCATTAAGCTGGGTTTACTCGGTTAGAATTTAGATGGAAAACTGTCGTTTTTGGAACATTGGTTGGCTGTTCTAATAGTTAATGGGGTCAAATCGATGATCATTGTCAACTGTAGTGACAAAAAAACAAAAACGAACAGGATGGGAACGTTTTCTCAAACCAAATTCTAATAGTAAATGTGGTTTTTATTTTGGAATCCCCGTTCATTCCAAAATTGAATGTTAAAATGAAATGAAATATTGTATGACATCTGTCAATTCTCTGATGGCATTATTGAATGTTCTAATGAGATTTTTCATATGAACTTTTGTAAAAAATGTTGACCATGTACACTCCGCTTTAGTCTTTGTGTGTTTTTCCCTGTTTTTTCTATATTCCCTGTACTTCCAGACATGGTAAAGGTATAAAATAATTTAAACATAAATAATCCAGTTAGCTGAACCATGGAGCTGCAATAGATGTGCTCCCATGACTACATAAAGAAGAACGCTGGGGAAAATGTTTCTTAACCCTTACAGTGGGGCTACCCCCGCACTGCAAGGGGTTAAGTGCATGTTTATATCTAGGTAGAAAAATAAAGTTGCAGTCACTTGAACCTTGCAGCCGGCTTGCTCTTAGACCGGTCCTTCCAGCATCTATCCTCCTCGAAGGTTCCTTGAGTCATCACATCCTCTACACCAGCGGTTCTCAACCTGTGGGTCGGGACCCCTTCGGGGGTCGAATGACGATTTGCCAGGGGTCGCCCGGGAGTCTCCTGCTATTAGATAGCGGCTCCCGGCCGCCTGGGAGAGAAACACTTTCTCCCGAGCAAAGTAAACATTTTTTGTCTGACATTGGGGGCCGTAGGCCGCCGTAAGTCAGAAAAAAAAACACCACCCTAGGAATGCATAGCTATATTCCTATTGGCTATTTCACTTTGCAAGTTCTCCATCAGGTCCCCACTACTGATTGACAGCAGCAGAGGGTGGGTGCAATAGCTAGTTTGCTATTGGCTATTGCAAAGTGAAATAGCCAATAGGAATCTAGCTATGCATTCCTAGGATGTTTTATTTTTTAATTTTTATTCTGACATTTCTCAAGCTGCAGGTTGCTGTGTGATTTCTGCTGTGCTAGTTGAGAGTCCTCCTCAACCCTCTCCTAGCGCAGCAGTGTCAGTTCTCCCGCCACACTGCAGCAGCCGCGTCATTCCTAAATTTTAAGGTTGGGGGGTCACCACAACTTGGCAAATGTTACCAAGGGGTCCCGGCCCTAGAAAGGTTGAGAACCACTGCTCTACACAGTGCATAGGATGTGAGGATGCCGAGGGACATAACCATCGCTGGAGGGAGCGCTATAACAGGTGACCGACTGCAAGGTTTGGGTGAACGTAACTGTTTTTGCACCTAGACAAAAATAAGCACTTAATCCTTGCAGTGTGGGATAGCCCCACTGCAAGCGTAAAAAAATTATAATTGCCGGACTTCTTTATAAGGAATCTTTTACAAAACGAAATACTTGTCCCTAAAGGCTGGGATCGAAGGTTCTTTATTCTGTGTGTCAAGCTTAAAAGCCAAAACCTATTTAGCGATGAAGATCAACATTAGAATGTTGGTTTCCACCCGTAGCTTCTGGCCCATATATTTCACTTTGTCCTGAATTCTCTTTGACATGTCAGGATGGAAGTTTTTTTGGGCACTTTGGCAGATTTAGTTTAGGTATTTGTCCTTCCCTGCTTTTACTTTCAGGACAGTTTATGGTCACTCTGCGCTTCAGACTTCCAGGATGTGAACTTAAATATTCTCTTCTTACATGTAGCAAAGAAATGTGGTTACCTTGTACATTTGGGATTTCAACAGCTCCTGACTTTATCCTGCTTTTTTGTTAGCCAACAAAACTGTACTTTTGTGCGCTTAAACATTTTTTGTATGTCTATCATTGCTATTCCCTAAGAAAGAATGATTCATTCATTTCTAAAGACCTTTAGGCACTTCTGCATAGTAAACAGCTGCATCACATAATCGGTGTATACCCATGTCATGTGTGAATCATCACTCCAAGACTTGCCTGTACAGTCTTTCTGTACATTTCCGAGAATGTCAGTAAGGAAGGAACAGCCACAGCAGTCTCTACCCCGTCACAGTGACAAATAAAACAGATAATGTTGTGTCAAACTAGTACACATGAAACTAAATCTGTTACTACTGATAGGCAAATGCATTTATGCTGTTTGGATGCACTTTTCAGGCGTCTGTGACAGTCGTGGAGTGATCGTGATTTTTGAGACCAGGGTTCAGCTTCAACTCTTGCACTGGCCTAACCCCAACTAAGGTTGACTAGATATTGAAAGCTGATGGTCTGTGCTTATCACTGACATTTCTTGGAACTGTGCCTGGGAGAAGTTCAAACCCATATGAGCCTTGTGAAATCAAACCTAGATAGCTGCATTGTGCTAGGGCATACACAATGTTTTAGTTAGGACCTGTATTTTTGTCTTTCCTGTAAGAATCATTTTGTTGTTTTTTTTCATATCTATCTTATCTGGTGTAAAATTATTTTATGTAGTATTGGTTTATACATATTTCATTGAGACTTTTTTTTTTTCTCAACAGAGAGTGATGGGAGACGACCGTCCTTTTGTGTGCGGCGCTTTTGGCTGCGGACAGGTAAGGTTTTGTTTGCATTGTTAAAAGAGGGAATATAAATATACAATATACAGTTGGGTCTGAAAATAATTGGACACTGACACAAGTTTTATTTTGGCTGTTTAGCAGAATTAATTCAAGTTACAGTTAGATAAAGAATATGGGCTTAAAGGACAGTCTCTCAGCTTTAAGTTGAGGATATTCAGATCCATATTAGAGGAAGGGTTTGCATTTTAATACTTTTGGTAAGGGACCAAACGTAATTGAACAATTGACTCAAAATCTGTTTCATGGACAGGTGTGGGCTATTCCTTTTTGTTATTTCATCATCAGTTAAGCAGGTAAAAGGTCTGGAGTTGATTTCAGGTGTGGCATTATTGGAAGCTTTTGCTGTGAACCCACACCATGCATTCAGAGGAGCTTTCAATACAAATGAAACAAGCCATCCTAAAGGTGCCCATACACCTTACGATTATCGTACGATAATCGTATGCGATCGACTTTTCGTACGACAATCGTAAGGTGTATGGGTAGTGTGCAACCGCCAGTACTGTACAATCGTACGACTTTTGTCTTTCCTGCTTGTTCGGAAACTTCAGTTGATCGTACGATTTTCGCAAGGTTGGTGGTTTTTCCGTACGTCAAAAGTCGTACGATTATCACTGCTCATGCGCAAACAAAAATACGTGCGGTCGATTACCGCAATTCGTCCAGGTGTTTTTTTTAAACTACCGCTGATTGAACCTTGAGATAATCGGGGCAGGATGGGGCCGCCGTACGACAATCGTACGACGATTCGATCATCGGACGAAAAAAGTTTTGTACGATAATCGGCAGGTGTATGGGCACCTTAAGGCTACAAGAAAGAAATCTATCAGAGAGATAGCAAGAGCATTAGGAGTTGCCAAATCAACAGTTTGATACATTCCGAGAAAAAAGAACGCTGGTGAGCTCTTCAATACAAAAAAGGCCTGGACGTCCACGGAAAACAGTGGTGGATGATTGTAGGATCCTTTCCGTGGTAAAAAACAACCCCTTTGCAACATCCAGCAAAGTGAAGAACACTCTCCAGGAGGTAGGCATATCATTACCCAAGTCTACCATAAAGAGAAGACTTCACCAGAGCAAATACAGAGGGTTCACCACAAGGTGCAAACCATTCATAGGCCTCAAGAATAGAAAGGCCAGATTAGATTTTGCCAAAAAAAGATGTCTAAAAAAAGCCAGCCCGGTTCTGGAACAGAATTCTTTGGACAGATGAAACTAAGATCAACCTGTGCCAGAATGATGGGAAGAAAAAAATTACAGAAAAGGCTTGGAACGGCTCATGATCTGAAGCATACCACATAATCTGTAAAACACAGCGGAGGTAATGTGATGGCATGGGCATGCATGGCTTCCAATGGCAGACAGAAGCAGTCAGATGAATTCTGAAGTGTATAGGGATATATTGTCTGCTCAGACTCTGCAAAATTCAGCGAAGTTGATTGAACAGCGCTTCGTTTTACAGATAGACAATGACCCAAAACATACTGCGAAAGGAACCCAGGAGTTTATGGCAAACAAGTGGAATATTTTGCAATAGCCAAGTCAATCCCCTGATCTCTACCCGATTGAGCACACATTTTACTTGCTGAAGACAAATTTAAGGCAGAAAGACCCACAAACAACTGAAGACAGCTGCAGTAAAGGACTGGCAAAGCATCACAAAGGAGGAAACCCAGCGGTTGACAATGTTCATGCATTCCAGACTTCAAGCAGTCATTGCTTGCAAATGATTCTCGACAAAGTATTAAAAATGAACATTTTATTTAGGATTGTGTTAATTTGTCCAATTACATTTGAGCCACTGAAATAAGGGGACTATGCATGTTAATGGTTGCAATTCCTGAACGTTTCATATGATATTTTTGTTCAACCCCTTGAATTAAAGATGAAAGTCTGCACTTCAATTGCATCATGGTTATTTCATTTCAAATCAATTGTGGTGATGTACAGAGCCAGAATTATGAAAATTCTGTCAGTGTCTATAGATAAAATAAAAATAAATATTACTCGTTACAAGTACAGATACTTTTCGAGCTCCAAGACTAGACTAGAGAAAAATGTAAACGTTAGGAGGCAGCTGTCATTAGTAAGAAGCACACGGAGCTCCTGGGATTTGTACATCTCTGTTTTAATGTATGATTTTGTTTTTATAAATATAAATAAAGGGATGCACTGATACCATTTTTGCAAGTACGAGTATTGATACTTGTCCAAGTACTCACAGATACAAGTACTGATACATTTGTGTTTAGTGTCATGTGACAGTTTTTCTAAAACAATATCGACTAATGATTTCAGGACAGTGGTGGAGCGCCAGAACTAGGTCCCAGCTGCAACTCTGGTACTTCTCATGAAAATGCCAAGTATCTGCACTGGTATCTGAAAAGTATCGGTGTATCCCTAATAAATATTTATATCTATCCTATCTATCTATCTATCTATCTATCTATCGTGAGTGTGTGTGTGTGTGTGTGTGTGTTTGTGTACGTGATCATTTTTGTGTAACCAGTATTGCATTATGTGTTAAAGTCCATTTCCACCTTTTGTAAGTTATTTACATTTATTGTGGTAATGAAGAGATGCAGTGATGATGGATACATGTGCACATTTTCATGACTCGCATTGCAGGCTTTCTTAATTTTTTCTATGAAGGTTTTATTAGGCCTGAAGCCTAAAAATTCTAAATTTTCTCTACAGGAAATTCAGTCAGATACCAGGGTTGGATGGTAATTAGGCATTATTTAGCTGCCCCCTCCCTGTCACCCATTGTAGCATGATCAGTAAACACCAGCTCTGCCTTTACACACACAATACAGTGTCAAGGGAAGGGCTGGTGGGGGATATTTTCAAATTGCTTGCACAGCACATAGCTTTCCTCTTCATATCCTATTGGAGATGGCTGTCTAACAGAAAATGTAAGTTTCTGTGTTCATATACAACAACTGCATATGCCTGCTTCATGTACATTTGGTGTACATTGCTGGCATATGTTTTTTTTAAATAACTGCAAAGGTGGAAATGGGCTTTAAGCTTTAAAAAAAAAAAAAGTTGTGCATCTTTATATGTATTTGGGTACTGTCCATATAACCAGTTACAAAGGCAATATAATTCTAACATCTGGGGAGGGAGTATGCTTCATATACAGTGCATTCAGAAAGTATTCACACCCCCAGCTGTGAGGCCTTCTATAGAGAGGTGTGTGCCTTTCCAAATCAATTTAATTTACCACAGGTGGACGCCAATCAAGGTGTAGAAAAATCTCTGCAACCATCAAGAGAAATGGGAGGCACCTGAGCTAAATTTCAAGTGTTGTTGCAAAGGGTCTGAACACTTGGGGCCCATTCACACCACATCATCTCCAGACCAGATTGTTTCCAGACCCAAAATGCATCCTAATGTATCCCTATGCTATTTCTGGCCTCTGTTCACACCAACACAGTCCTTTCCAGACCAGACCAAAAAAATACTGCATGTCTCATTGTGTATAATATATACAAATAGGGGGATGGGGGGCTAGGCATATGTTTAAACACTTGAATACAGTTCTTTGGGTCTCCTTCACAAATATTCACTCATGTCTCATTTTGTCTGGTCTGAAATGCATGGAAACACATCAAAAATGCTTACAAACGTACCTGAAAGCCCATTTTAAGCAAAAAAATATCTTAAACGTGGCAAAACGCAATGCGCTGCATTCCAGATCTGGACAGGAAAATGGCGTGAACCTGCCCTTATGTCAATGTGATATTTAAGTTTTTTTTCTTAATAAATTCAAAGACATTTCTAAAATTCTGTTTTCACTTTGTCATTATAGGGTACGGAGTGTAGATTAATGAGAAAAAAAGAATTTAAACAACTGTAGTATCAGGCTGCAACATAAAATTGAAGGGGGGTCTGAATAATTTCTGAATGCACTGTATATGCACTTAAAGTAAAAACACATAGGCTGCTATTGATTACCTCACCTTCTGAAATACTAGTTGCCTCGCTAGCGTGCTGATCCTTTGCCTTTGATTCACTAACCTGGAATAAATATACATATCAGGAGTTCTGACTTCATGTGCTGCATTGGGTCAATACATTATTCAAGCCAGGCATCTAGCATATTTTTAAGGGGTAAATTTCCTCAGTACCAGTTTCCTTTCAAGCACACCACTTTCTTCTGGCATATAGATGCTCTTTGTCCTTATCCCTTATCATTGAGGCACGGTCCGGTGCGATCAAAATAGTGCTTGCAGCATGTTGATCGCACCGGACCGCAGGCACAATGTGCCTTGCGATCCCGTGCGGGCGACCGCACTGCGACCGGAGGGCGTGGCTACGGTGCCATTCACTTCAATGAACCGCCTTGCCCCCTCCTGCACCACTAAAAAGTGAGCCAGCCGCAGTGCGAGGCAGTGCGTTCTGGCCAGAATTGGGCCGGAACGCACTGCAACTGGTGTGAACGGGCCCTTAAGCAGCATTAGTGAGTCAGTCAACAGTAAGTGTATTCAAACATGCTTGGGTTAAACAGACCTATAGTAACAAAGACGCAAATCACCGCTAAAAACACAAAAAGGTTAAACAAAAATCAAAGAAGGCGCAGACTCGATGGAACACTGAATGTTTTCTGACGTCACACTTCTATAAAAATCTGAGGAAAATGGAAAGCTTGGTTATTGACCTGTAGTTACCAGTCTGATGTTGGCTTTCATCTCCTAAACAGTAATCCATGTTATTTGCTTTTGGCTGCACATATCTTCTCTTGTATTAATTTTGAAGCGTGGAGCTATGAATGATCACATCCTCGCATACACAGCTCTGTTCCACATATCCATGAATTGCAGGCACATCAGGCAGAGCCAACATTTGGCTAAGAAGGTGCAAGTACAAAGGCAATTATGAAATGTTTAGGAACTTCACTGCTAATGGTGTTGGCTGCGCCATCTATTCAATGCCAAAAGATGTCCAATTGGGACTTGAGCATCAGTGAC